TAGAGAAGCTCTTGGGCTCATCATGTCCTTATGAGCAATTATTTTCTGTATGCAAGGTGCCATAAAGTTGTACAAAAGCACAATACAAATATCAAATGTGGTTATTAAGTAAAGATTAATTATCTTTCTGGTTTGTTTGTTTGTTTGTTTGTTTGTTTGTTTTGTGAAGGCCTCTGGCATGCATACCTCAGACACACTCAAACTTATTAATTACTGTTATTATGTAAAAGTTATAATGAAACATTGTGTTGATAAATTGCTAATGGAGACAGGTATGAAACGGAAACCTGGATCTCACAGCTCCAACTGCTCAGATAATTTCCCTTGTGGTTTTGGAACTAAAGGACTGAATTCAACCACAGACCCAAGTGCCCACAGCTGGGGAAGCACAGCTGCAGATTTGTCCACCTCTGCTCTCTGCTGGGCACCTCCGTAGTGAGAGGTGCCTTGGGGAAAAGCCCTTTCCAGCTACAGCATGTTTTATTTAGTATTACAATGGGTGACGTTCACAGACATCAGGGTTTTTGTTTGCAACACACTTAGATGAAAACACAACCCCTCAAAAATGTGGTTGAACAGGGAACTGACTTTAGCTAATGTGTCAGGGAAGGCAAAATAAATGCCTGAGTGAGCTTTCATCTTGTCTTAGCTCATCACGGAAGGTTTCGGTTCTTACAGAATCGTTCTTTAACTTGAGAACCCTATAAAGGATCATTTTTTGCTTCACTAGAATTAGCTGCACTAATTTTTGCTTGTTTTCCTCCTGTGGACTCATGCAGGTGAAGCTCTGGCTCCATGGAAGCTGATGGCTGTTTTGCCATGGGTATCAGTTGGTCTGCATTTCTCCCTCAGGGAGGGAAGCCATTGGGTTTCCCACAGCCTTCCTGCTGTGTAGCTGCAACTGAGTTGCATTTAACTTTGGCAAGACTTGTGGTCCTGGTCAGGTTAATAAGATTTATTGAATGGGACTGGAAATAGAATATAGGGTGAGCTGTGCCTGCAGCCTCTGATTCTTTCCTCCAGGGAACTTTGCTGAACACTCTTTTGGAACACCACCAGTCTTTGTGCTCCAGTGCTGCACTTAGCTTTCCCTGCAGCCTCTGTGACACCATTCCCATGGAAATGTTGGCTCTATGCACTTCAGCTGAGCTTTGGAGCTGTTTTTGGAAGTTTTCAGAATGTCCCAGAAGTGCCCTTCAGGAGAGCATACAAGTGGGGGTAGCATCTCTGGAAGACCATCTGTGGCAATGTTTTAAAGGCCACACCACACAAAAACACCAACTCAGGTCTTGGAATCTGTCAAGCTGTTGATGCCGTATGCTCAGTTTAATTAGCCCACCTCTTTTCAGGCCGTAATTAGCTCAGGTGCAGTCTCATCATGGCTCTGCTTCCCATCCTAGAAACAGCCAAGGGATCTGTGCACAGCACCAAACTGCATGGCATGAACACCACCCAGGTCACATCTGAACTTCAGATTTGAGCATCAGTCAATGATGGCACACCAGTGAGGAGGTGTTTTTCTCTTCTTCACTTCTCTTTTCATTTGTCTTTACTTCCCAGGGGCTTGCATGGAGCTTGGTGAACCACAGCGTTGATCTCAGGAAGAACCTGATGCATTCTGCTTTCTTGCAGTTAATATTCACAATGCAGAGCTTAAGGAGAATGTTAAAAGCAGAACAGTGAGCGTGTAATGATTGAACTTATTCTACTACTCTGCTTCTTTTGCCTCCATTGCTTTGATCAGGGCTTGCTTCTTCCTTCCAATGGGCTGCCCAGCCCTCCAGCAAAAGGGAACTTTCTGAACAAACCCGATTCCTCCTTGGTAGCCTTTTGTTTTGACACTCAGAAGAAGGCAGATTTATAGACTTTCCTAAGTCGTAAGTTCATTTTCTTTTTATTTACCTTTCACTGCAGCCCATTCGGAGTGAGATTTCATTCTGCCTCCGAGCAGGGCTGACCTGCCAAGAGGAGCTGATCCATAAATCTTCCCTTCCTTTTTCTTTCTTTCCAAAACAGAATTAGCTGAGTTTGCCTGGGAGGAAAACTGTTCTGCCATTGCCGGCAGTCAAACAGTGCAATTAATTAGTGCTTTCCCTTTTCTCTTCCCTCTAGTCTCTGTCTGATGGGGTTGAAAGTAAGCCAGGGAGGAGGGGGAAGGGACAAAAGAAGGGAAAATGTTTTGTTCGAAGTATTTATATTCAGTTAAAAAGTTTGCTATGTGATACAGCTCAGTGGCAGTGTCCCTTTTGCATCATGTCTAGTGGCCACAAGTTTAATCAAAGCATCCCAGCAGAGGAGCTGGAACTTAGGACTTTCTTGTACAAAACCACATTTTAAGAGGTCGTCCTCTTCATGACCTCCTGAATCCTAAAACTGTGGCAGCTTCACCATTGTGCTGCCTTCTCGTATCTCAGCTGGGAACATCAGAACACTTGCTGTGCTGCTTGGGTAGAGAACAAATTCCTCATTTCATGGCTCATGTGGGCTGCTGTTTGGGTTTCAAGTACAAAAGGATAGTGGGTCAGAAGTGGAAAAGGTGTTTGTTAAATGATAATGGAAAGTATGCATTCAGCTGAAACTGCAGGGCAGGTCTGAAAAGGAAGATGCTCCATCTCTGCTCCTTCCCATTGTGGAAGATAGAGCATGTCACGACAGTGCTGAGCAGACGAGAGCTGCTTGCCAGCATTTAATTTGCTGAAGATTAGGAAATTATTACAACACTGTGGCAGTCCAGAAATACCATTGAACTCTGGGGGATGTGAAATGGAGATCTAGCCTCAGATTTTGTTGTGTTTGGAAGCCCAAGCTTTATCAGAGTAAGAACTGTAAGGATTGTTTAAGCCATATTAATAGTGTACCTTGACCCAATGGACTGGCTTAACATCAGCCACCTTTGAACTCTGGAATAACTTATATCCAGAACAAGGCTGAACTTGCTCATTTTCTTTGTGATCAGAAGCAATGCAGAGATGAGCTATTCCTGCTTTTTGTCCTCACTGCAGGGAGAGGAGGCTGCTAAAACATTGCCCCTTTCTGACCTCCAGCTTTCTCCACAGAAAGCCTTGAACCCCAGGTTTTTCTCCTAGTGCTGTCCTTGCTCTGTCCTACCCATCCTGTGCCCTTATCACGCCAAGGACAGCAAGCTGAGAAGCCTTCTACATGGCCGGACTGCACTTCAGCTGATGCTTCCATTATTTACAATCATTTCTAAAAGCACTCTCATGACTGTTGGGGTCGAGCCATAAGCAAACGCTTCTCTTATGATCATACGTGATAAATAGACAGAAAGCTCTTGGTGTCAGCAGCCTCACCAATCTGTTTACCACTTGGAGCTCGCAGCAGCTTAGCAGTTGCAAACCATCACTTGTCCAGAAGTAGAAGAGCAGTTTCAGAAGTGCTGTAAGTAAATAAGAGTTCTGACGTGGGCACCAAAAATAAGCATGCACTGAGCTTTTCTGAGCATTTGGCCAGGTCGCAGTTGCTGACTGCTGAGCAGTTAGGAAAAAGTATCCCCTCTTTCAGGTGCTCAACACTTGAACAACCCCAGGGTCATCTGCTTCTCTCATAGCTAGCACTGCTTTGCCCTGCAAAAATAACCAAGGTTGGAACCAGCACCACCTGACCCCTAAGGGACACAAGAAGGTTAAGTCCAGTCCTTTGTAGCACCTAAACTGGAACAGTAGCTGAGGTTGACCCTTTTAGGTCACCTTAGCTGAAAAATGGGAGGAAGTCTGTAGCTGGCTTGTGTTGATGGGTGCAGAAATACCATTGAGGGCAGATCTGGTACTGCGAGGCACGGGAGGCTTTCTCAACCCTGATTTATGCTCTTAGAGCTGCCGTTGCAGTGGTAAATCAAGGCAGAATGTTTGCCAAGCTGCTTGGTGATAGTGGAACTGCACAGGCATTGGTTGAAAGAAACCCACAGAAAGAAAATGCAGATACACTTTCCATAAGCAGTTGTTAGCTTAGCAATTCTGGTCTCATCCCTCGGGTATTTTCTGGATGGTTTAAGTGAAATGGTGAAATAATTTAAATTTAATGGAAGTGGAAATATTTTTTTTTTCTTTTTTTTTTTTTTTTTTTTTGTTGCAAAGATGTGGAAGAGAAAAGCAAGGCTCAAACTGTTCCTACTTTGCTGGTGTAATGGCAAAGTTTTCCAAGCTTGCTTTGCAAGTGGCTGGATTTTGGATGTGAGTGAAGCAGATGTGAGGAGAAGTGCCAGCCAACAAGACACATGGCTCTGATCTACCCCTGCATGGCATTTTACCTGGGACCTGAGTTGTGATCCCACAACTGTTCATGCTGGGGAATATGGATCAGCAGCAGGCCAGGCTGGCAACACCTTTCTCCTGCTGGTGAAGAGTTATTTGCTAAAATAGACTCATTGAGACCTATAGATTATTATGTTCATTAGTGGTGATTCATGCTAAGAGTTTCATAATCAGGCCTGCTGGTGTAATATGTTCCTTTCCACAGTACCATTTATCTTAAAGATCTCGGAATACTTTATGTACATTGAGCTTTAATCCATGTTTTACCACCAGCGAGGGCAGGTAAGGAGGATTGTTTCCATTTTGCAAATGAGGAAAACTGAGGTACAGAGTGAGAAAGTGGGCTTGTCCAAGATTCTGGAGGTTGTTTGCAGAATTGTATGCAATGGCCATCTTTGAATGAGTGTACATTTCCCATGCGTGGCCCCAGAGACCTAAAAGGGATCTTTACTTTCCCAGGGCTGAGCAGAAACCTGTCTATAGTTGTAAGGTTTGAAGGGAATCAGAAACTCCTGCAGCGTCTGGGGATGTTTAAATTTGCCATCCCCAACCGAAGTGTTGGGGCAGAAGTGCTGGTTTGCTTTTAGGGCTGGTTTCAGCCAGTTGGTCTAAGATGTAGAATTAAGAGGTAGTGAAGAAACACAATTTGGAAGAGAAATCTCTCTACAGCTCCCATTTACCATCCGTATTTCCACTGAACTGACCTTTGTCTGCTTTCTTCCCTGCCAGGGTCCCCTTCTCTGAGGGCATATCCTCTCATCTCCGTTATCACCAGGCAGCCCTCTGTGGTCCCTCACCTCGTTCCAGCTGCCACCAGCTCCCATGTGCTGCCAGCCCAGACCTCAGTGGCTGCAAGCTCAGAGACGCCAGCCAGTGAGACCCACGGCAGCAGCGAGTCTGAGGCAGAGCAGCCCACACCTCGGTTAAAAAAGCCACGCCGGAGTCGGACCATCTTCACAGAGCTCCAGCTGATGGGCTTGGAGAAGAAATTCCAGAAGCAGAAGTATTTGTCTACACCTGACAGGTAGGAGTGCGCAGGGCTGGGGAGGGAAATCCAAGCAGCCCATCACAGGTCAGGCTCTCCAGTTCCTACCACCAACTGCGGTCCTTTAGCTGTGCAGAATGCACTTGTCTTCATCTGGTTTACTGCTTTATCTGAGCAGTCCATTCAGATGCTCACTGTTCCCTTTTCTACATTCTGGGATTATTGCTGGCAGCCACTGACCTGAAAGACAGATCACACCTTGTGCACATCTGTAGCTCCCTTCTGTCCATCCTCAACCTAGGAACAGCCAGACATGGCTGAAACTATCTGCAGGCAATAAATATTGCTTAGAAAGGAGCAGGAAAATACTGTTTCCTAAACTAGGAGAAGGACAGGGAGCAAAAGGGTTGAAGCAAGCCTGCTCAGCTGTCCCCATACTGAGTGCTCCCTGGCTGCAGAGTGCTGCTTTCTAACTCCACGGCGATGCCTCTGCTGTTGGCCGAGGACACGGGCAGATGACCTGATTAAATTTCAAGGCTAACTTCTCTTGAGATCAAAGATGACACGAATAGGCTGTATCAATGGAAATGTCACATGGTGATAGATGTGCCTGCTAGCAGGCATCCAGGCTCAGAGATGTGCAAGAAGCTGAGCAAAGGCTCTTTCTTCTTTTCTGTTCTTGCTCCAGACCCTTGCGAAAAGATGCAGCCTGGTTTCCTGCTGAGATGCTGAGGTGGATGGCTCTGTCTCTGTGGCACCTGGGAAGTTGGCTGTAGCTTCAGCTTGCTGCTGAACTAGCTCTCATCTGGCAAACATGGCTAGCAATTCAGTGAGCAGTTAGTGGTCTGTCCATCAGGGAGAGAGCCTGGGATGCATAGGTGTGAAATCTGCCTTGCTCCATCTTGAATTCTCAGGGACTGCTTGGTAGCAAATAGACAAACTAAAATAAGGAGAGGTTTTGTTTGTTTTAAAGGCTTTGAATGCTACCCTGCAAATCTAAATTACAGGAAAAAGCCTTGTCCGATTCCTATTCAGTTTGTAAACCTAGGGAGGGTTTGAAAGGTTCACCAGACCTTGAACTCCACGGGTGGCAGAATCCCAATATTAAAACGGTTTTGAAGTCAGCACACTCCACTTGTACTGCCTGTCACCACACCAAAGGATCACAGCTAGACCGAATCTCATGAGCAAGTCTGAATGTCTCACACAGCTTTAGATCCTAGTGCTCCTTTAGTGACTCCTCCCAGCGTCACATAAGCAGATTGTTGACACCATTGATGAAGCACTCAGGGCTGGTAAATTAATTTAATAGTATGACTGTTCCTTGGCTTTGTCTGTGTTAGAGCCTGGTGAGCGATTCCTGTCCCTGCACCACTTCCCCTGTTTGTTTCCTTGGGTTTCCAGGCAATGCTGACTACAGTAATGTGTGTGGCAAGAGATGGCAACTGGCTGCAGGTAATCAGAGTGTGATAACATGCATTATGGCAAGCTAGCCAAGCAGTGTTTCTCTCTCTGAACTCATGGCTGGAAACGTGATCGTGAAGCAATGAATTGTGATCTGTGTTCAGTCCTGCAGCTTTTGGCCTAGACACAAGATTGTGCTGGTTAGAGGGCAAATGGAGCACCTGGTTTGTTAGCAGTAAAGGAGAGCAGTGCGATGCCTCTGCCACATTCTCAAACTGGTAATATTTTTAAGTCAATGGGATATCACACAGACATTATATAGAAGTGTAGGCAGCAGGGAATCTCAAGTGGGGAAAAGCATGAAGCTAGGAGTGTGTATGTGAGCACAGAGCTGGTGTGGGGTGCGTAGGTGTTTGTAAATACACGAGTGAGCCTGACCGCCCGAGGAGCCCAGCTGAAACAGAAATGCCATTATGAACAACTTGGCCTTGACAAGTGTGCTTTCTCCCGTGCAGAAATAGGGAAATATCTGTCAGAAAGCTCATACAGTCCAGAACACCTCGGAATGTGGCTCTGGGTTTGGGCTGTCCCACCTGTGGGGTTTGCGTGACTCTGTGGGGCACTTGCCTGGCGTTGCTGAGGATTTCCAACTCTGCCTGTTGTGCAACTCCATTACAACACTGCCAGATGCATGGTACCATCACCTGTGGGGAAGGATAAAGAGCTAGCCTGAGCTGCATTTGCTTCATATCCTGAGTTTTAATATAGAAATAATGAATGGTTTCAGATGAACTTGCACAGGTTGGAGAAATGCGGAGGATGAATCAGGATTATGGGCTGTCTGCCACACGTACCCTTAAGCTAAACACGCAAATAATAAATTCGTTTATAAGCTTAAATTGCCTATAATAGCACAATGCATAAGAAATTAATAGATTTAGATGTACTACTGCTCTTTGAGAAATGAAAAAGTATCATTATCCTCATTATGTAGGTAGTGAAGATGAAATATGATACAAAAAGCAACGCTTTCACAGGCAGACTGATGCCAGGTGTCTTGCTTCTTGCGTGGTTGCTTCAGACACCATGGGCCTATTTTTCAGGAATGCTGTGTAGCAGCAGCTCCCTGCCTCATGCACAAACGTGGAGCATCAGCAGTCAGCATACAGCTGTCCTGTGTTTGAGAAAGAGCAGGCAAGTCTTCAGAACTTTTACAGTTGGCCATTTGTCCACCAACACGTTGACCATTCTTTCTTCTTCCATAACAGCGACTATCTTTACACCCTGGGAGAAGCAAAGCAATCCTTTCTGGCAGTCCTGCTGCTGTGTGGTTGGCTGCCCTTGGCATCTGGGTGCTTCTCATCCTCTGGCAGCTCCTTGCAGTGTCTGTCTTCTCTTCCAGGCTCGACTTGGCGCAGTCGCTGGGGCTGACCCAGCTCCAGGTGAAGACGTGGTACCAGAACCGCAGGATGAAGTGGAAGAAAATGGTAAAGGGTTTGGTACCATTTCTCTCAGTCCTTACAAACTGCTTTTGAAAGAATGGATTCCAAAGCTGAGTGTAGCGTCAGTGATTTGTGTCTGTTTATACTAAATCTTGTCTTCTTCTTGCCGAATTTGCCTACAATTTTCTTAGAAATGTTTTTTTATCTTTAAAAAGCTCACGTTGGAGCATAAGCGGTAGGCTGGAGGTACAACAAGCAGTAGGAAGAATGTGGAGCTGAGGGATGAAAGAACTTAGAACAGAGGGAAGAACCAAACTATGTACCTCTGCATTTTTGGCATAATAATATTAAATGCTAATTTAGAAGCCAAAATGGAATTGGCAAGAGAACAGACAGTCAGAAGCAATCCTGGCTAAAGTTTGAATGTTCTTACTTGGGCTTTAAATAGATCAAATGCTCATGAAAGGGTCTGAATTGTGCATAAAATCTTTATGTAATGTTGAGGACTGCGTGATCAGATCACTTTTGGGGCTGCTGCAGAAACTGGCTCAGATGGCTCCATCTAAATTCTGAGTGTCCTTGCTGGTATTTTTTGCATTTAGTTTTAGATATATGAGAAAATGATTGAACTCACTTTGTGAATGCAGGGAAATTCTCTGAAGCTGAATGGTGACCACAGGTCACATCTGAAGTCGCATTTCATCCTCTCTCTAAAGGAAGCCTCACAGCAGGGAAGTTCAGGTTGATCTGACTGTTAATCTCTTTGCTCCAGGTGTTGAAAGGTGGGCAGGAAGCTCCAACGAAGCCTAAAGGCCGTCCAAAGAAAAACTCCATTCCCACCTCAGAGGAAATTGAAGCAGAAGAGAAAATGAACAGCCAGGCTCAGAATCAGGAGGCGGAGGGATCTCAGGCGCCCGAGGAGCCTAAAGTGACAGAGGAGAAGCCAGAAGTCTCTTTGGAGACAGAAGAGTCTCCAGAACATATACCAGAGCCCTCCTCAGAGGAGGCAACGCCATTAAGTTAAAGGGAAAAAGAGAAGGGAAAGGGAAAAAAAGAAAAAGCAAAGAGAGAAACCAAAACCAAATATATATGTGTGTGTATATATATATATATTTAAATATGTATGTAATTGTTGGTGTGTACATATATATATAAATATATATATATATATGTAGACCTTGTGTATAAGCTGAAAGATTGGTCACTTTGTGCCTTTGGGAATCAGCCATCATGGGCCACGGTGGAACAAAGGCATCCAGTGTGAGCAGTGGCACATGTTTGCCTTCCCACAGAGAACGATGGAGGCCTGGGTGTATTTCCAGAGAAAACCATGTCCAGAAACCCCAGACAGCTCCTGGCAAATAAAGGAGAAAGCCAGGGCTCCTTTCCTGCAGAGGGAGGCGGATGTGTAGTGGTGCAGCTGTGTTGGAGGGTTCCGTGTGTTCGCTTGGCTTTATCCTTGCCTTTAAAAGTAGTGCAAATGGACTTGGCCTGGTCTTGGATCAGGGACAGCAAAGAAATGGGGAGCTCTGACAGCACCATTTCGACTTGTAACCAGCACTTATTTCTGTTAGGGATGGGCCCAACTTAAACATTTTGGGGGAAGAGTTCAGACACGTGGGTTTGCTTTGGCCCAATACAGAGACCAAAGCTTCTGAAGAGAGACTCATACCCAGGTCAGCACTCAGATTTCGTGTCTTATGGTTATTTGGGTGCCGTGTCTGTGAATTTGCAGTGATCCAGGATAAAACATCGAAGGAGATGAGGGTTTGGATTTGAGTCTGCTCCAAAAGCTTTGGAATGCTTGGATCTGGGATTTTCGCTTTGGGCCCACTTCTAATTTTTCTAGGGTTTTTAATGAACATTTAAATATTTCCAGGGTTTTGGGAGAAGGATGGATTTAAGAAGTTGCTGCGGAAAGTTTGCGTTTGTTTAAGATGTGTGCCAAGAATAGATGTGCATCATGTTTCCTAAAGTCTTGTTAAGGGTGCATTTTGCCCAAAGGCTGCAAGAGATGTATTAAGATAACCTTTATTTTTTAATTAAAACTGAAATATATAAACAAACCAGTTGTTGTTGTTTCTCTTTCAGAATGCTGGGCAGACTTTTCTGGGTCAGGTCGTTTGTTCTAACAAACCCTGGAGAACAGGGGTGTCATCCAACCTCCTGTAACCCTCCTGGGCAGGAGGCACTGTGCATGCTTCTTGCAGCACCTTGCTGAGGTAGGTGAGGGTGCTGCCCATGTCACCTTGTCACTGGGTGCAGGGCAATGTCTCAGGGTGTTGTTGTTGGTTTGTCACTTCCTCTGCTGCACATCTAGCTAATAAATGGGCATCTCTGACCCTGCCCTGTTTGGGGGGGAAGTGGGGAATAAGAATTCACACACATAGTTCTCACTTGACTCATCCAAGGAGTGTTATATGAGGAGAAAGGGTTTCTTTTTCCCCCATTTCTTGCTCAGTGATGTTTGGAAGACTCTTAATCCACCTCAGCATCAGCTCTGCATTTTAACACACATTTACATCAGTACTCCATGCATAGCAAAGCTCCCACTGACTTCAACCAGGAGCATTGCTGCACACACTGTGCAGTGCTGACTTAAAACACTGCAATCAACTTTGAACAGGCTTCTACAGATTTCAATGCATCTTAAGAAAAAAAAGAGAAAACATCCACCAGAATTGAGCAATGTTCTTTTTAAGAAACATAGAAAATCTCAGGCATGTTATACCATTTAGCATTTGTACCTGGAGGTAGAAATGGGACCAAAGAGTTCCCACTTACCTGCTGTGTTGGAAACACGGTCTGGGAGCTACAGAGAGTTTCCTCTGCCATTAAAACACATGGAGATCAGTTTTGGAAGCATTGTTCTTTCCACAGAGCCCCAACAAATTTGTGGCAGGCCCAAAGAGAGGCAGGGATGGCAGAGCAGAATTTTGGCCCTTGTTGGATGGAGTCATGATGCTGTGTGTTGTTTCAGATTCTTTATCTGTGGAAGCCTTTTTTAAAGAAAAACAACATTAGTTCAACCGTATCTGTTGGACTTGAAATGGCATTTAATTTTAAAAAGGCCCACGGCCTGTTTATACAAGAATGAGATTAGATGGTCTATGAACTGTGTAATTGTCAGGTATTGTTCTTGGATAGTAGCAACAGCACTATTATCTCAAAATAAAACGTTTCTACAAGTCTTAAGTGTGGTATTACTCAGGATGAAGGGAGCAATTTACTGGAAACAATTTTTCTAATGGCTTGCACCACTTAGTTTGGAGTTCACCGGGTTTGGAAGCAAGAAGAGGGGCACGGAATCAAACCATCAGATTTTGTGTGCACATCATTCCACAAACAACAGCAAGAAAACAAAACCAACAGGAAAAGCCAACAACTTCTCCTTCAGGGAGCATCAAAGATCTCCTGATTTCTCTGACTTCAAAGTGGAAAAGAAATCCTCCAGCGCGTTTTTCTATAGCTTTTTGGAGATGGATATTGAGCATAGCATCTTGGAAGCTTTAATTGTCGGTGTATACACTTTCTTTCATCCAAAATGTGTTCCACAAAGTAGAAAACAGATGTAGGTTTGTATTGATAGCCAGCGCATTTATCTAATTTGAGGAATTTTAATGGATTTTTATGGGGATGGGATAGAAATATAGAAAAACGGCTTTCTTCCCCTGGAGCAGGAGGTGGTGTTTGGTGTTTCTGTGCTATTCGAGGAAAAGGAGAAATTCAAAGTTACAGAATTTAGAAAATTCTAAGGAAGATGAATTTCTAAATCACGAGCAAAGTTGGTGATTTTCCAGCAAAGAGCTTTGGGGAAATGTCACTTCCCACTTCCCAGATGAAAATAATTGTTTCTGACTCAACCCTACTTCACGGTGGGAACAATTCCAGCGATATTTTTTTGGTTGTTAATCCCATTCTAATCACTTATGAGTCAATCTGGGTGAGAATGCAATACTCTAGCTGCCTGGGCTAGTTTTTAATGAGGCCATAAGACACTGAAGATGTTTTTGTTCCTCTTTTGGATCAGTAGCAATCTTAGCATTTTATTTTTCAATGCGATGAAGAGCAAAATTAGCTCTCTTAAATGCTGTTTCATTCTTGCTTACTCTGAATTACTTTCACTCACTTAGCTGAGAGCTTCTTGAATGGAAAGCCTGTTCAGAATGTGTGTCTGTTGAGATGGAATGAAAACAGCAGGGGATAAATGGTAAAACCATTGAATTACCTCTTGGATAAATCTTTTCAAATTTCTCTGTTCTATGTCACATCTGCAGATGGAGAAAAACACCTACAAATTCTGGCAGAGTTGAACATGATATGTTCATGAACATTGATAGTAGACAAGAGATCCTTCTCTTGTTTAAGGACTCTGCTCCATTGCGTTTATTTCTCCTCTCATCACTGGAACACAAACAACTGAGAAACACTCATCCTTTTTCACTTTGGGCTGAGCTCAGATAGGCTTCAAGGCTGTGCTGCAGAAAGCATGGCTGTGCAAGACCAGCCTTCATTTGGAGCTGTGGTGGACGCTGCAGCAGTGCTCATCTCTCAAGCCCAACTCCAAGTTGTGTTGGCTTTGTGCTCCTGGGATCGGGAGAAACATGACAAGTCTCCCCCTAGGCAGCCCCTTCAGAAACGAGGGACTTGAGAGCTTCTTTGCAGAGCCAAAACCTTTCACATTAATAATTTAAGACTATTTTTTAGGGTTCTATCTCCCAGGTACCAACACCTCCTGTCCTACAGTGGTTTGTCACTTATCAGGGAGGTCAGATCAAAGAGGTGCCTTTGGGGTTGAGCCTTGCGACTTCAGGGGCGTTTGGCTTCCAGTTCTAACAGCAAGAAACAAGCCCTGATGTTGAAATCCAAACTCCCCTACAGGGATGGAAAGCGCTGATATCCGGAGCTCTGGCTGAGACCCACCTTTTGTTGTACCCACGTTTAGATAATTTTGCAAAGCACTGAGCTCATCCTGCAAAATGGTATGTTTCCCCCAGGTCCCAGCAAGGATGAATGGGCTGTCGTCCAGTATTTAAAAAAAAAAAATGGTTTAGCTCCAGGCACAAAGGCATTGGTGTTGGGGTGGGTTTTCAGTTCCCCTTTGTTTCCATCACTTGCTTCAGGAAGAAAATGGAGAAAGAAAGTAACAAAGCTATGGGTGAACAAAGTGGGTTTTCAGTTCCCCTTTGTTTCCATCACTTGCTTCAGGAAGAAAATGGAGAAAGAAAGTAACAAAGCTATGGGTGAACAAAGAGGGGAGAACGATGTGAAAGGAAAAAAGCTGAAAAGCTTAACTGAATCAAACTATGAGAAATAAAATCCAGGAGGGAAGTAATTTTCTTGAAAATTCAACTTTCCTTAGAAGAAGATATGATAAATGAAGAAAGCTCTGGCTGTGTAAAGGCAGATGCATTGCTGGGGTTTAACTACAGAGGCAATGAACAATGTATTACAGGTTTTTCACAAGTTTCCTCTTACACCGTATAATTAAAGTGTAACTGAGTAAAGAGCATTTGGATTACATTTATGCAATACAAGATTTGGGCCCAAGTCTACATCTTGAAAAAGACATTGGTTTGAAGCATAGATCTGGAATCTGGGATGTTGAATGTGAACATCCTGTGAGAAAGCTGCTCTTCTCCATCTCAAGGTGTGGTACCACCAGGTTGGATTTATCAGGTTTTACCATAAGCTTTAGAATAAGTGGTCTGGGGGCACCAGTCCAGAACAGAGTAGGCTTTCCCCAGCTCTAACTCCTTCCCATGTTGCTCATCTTGAACATACTGTCCCAACACACAGAAATAATTACACCTCAGCTTGGTAGTAACAGGAAGGAAGCTTCTTATCATGCTGGGATCCACAGGTGCCAAAAGGGAGATGTGTGCTGCTTGGCTGCTGCCAGTGGAGAGAGTGTAACCCCTCCAGGGTGTTCTGACATGTCCGTTACCTGCTGGAAACACTGAAGCACTTGTTATTCATACAACTGAGAGTCATAGAGTTACTCACTGAGAGAGATTCCTGAAATCATCCTGGTCGTGGGCAGCCTGCAAGCAATGGGAG